CTATCTATCTATCTATCTATCTATCTATCTATCTATCTATCTATCTATCTATCTGTTTTTTGAGACAACGTCTCTCTATGTAGCCCTGGCTGTCCCAGAACTTACTATGTAGACCAGACTGGCCTTGAACTCACATGGATCTGCCTTCCTCTGCCTCTGGAGTGTCGGGATTAAATGTATGCACCACCATGCCCAGTTTAGTATTTTTTAAGAAACCACTCAACTTGAAAATGGTATCATGTGAACTTCAGGTCACACATGGGGTGGCTCAGGCATGGCTTCCCGTTTCCGTCTCTCTCCTACTACCCCTCGTGAACTCTCCAGGCATCTGGGGAGCATCTGCACAGGCAGACCAGACATCTGATTCCGACATCCCCTGGAGTGCGTTTTACTGCTGCCATTTAACTAATGTTCCCCTAAATGGTTTTCCTCAGGAGATCAGAATAGTCCACCAGGGAAGGAAAGCAGCAAGAGTTATACGCAGATAAGTAAGTGGCATGTAAACATTATTTTCCTGCTAAAATTAAACTAAGTCCAGAGCAGGGGCAGAGTCAAGGTAATAAGCATGTGACAGCATGTGCCCCAGAGTGGCTATGACAGAAGCTCTGAGAAGCTGTGACAGCCACTCCCTGAGGCTTGCTGAGGAGGCTCTCCTAAACCTTGGTGGATATCTTAGTTAGGGTTTTACTGCTGTGAACAGACATTATGACCAAGGCAACTCGTATAAGGACAACATTTAATTGGGGCTGGCTTACAGGTTCAGAGGTTCAGTCCATTATTATCAAGGTGGGAGCATGGCAGCATCCAGGCAGGCATGGTGCAGGAGGAGCTGAGAGTTCTACATCTTCATCTGAAAGCCACTAGGACAAGATTGGCTTTCACTTGGTTAGGAGGAGGGTCTCACTGCCCACCCAGACAAAGACACACTTCCTCCAACAAGACCACACCCACTCCAACAAGGCCACACCCACTCCAACAAGGCCACTCCCACTAATAGCGCCATTCCCTCTACCAAGCATATTCAAACCATCACAGTGGGTATCCCTACCCCACACTCCCATTCTCAGACCTCTTCTTCGGGGTCTCATCTTTGCTGCTGTAGTCCTCTGTGCTAGTCAGAAGTGGCTCTCTTGAATCTGCTTGTGTAGGCACAGCGTGCCTGCCCACATCACTTAAATAGGTATCAATAAAGAGATCAAGCCAGGCCCCAGAGACAGCAGTTCCCGACACGGTTCGATGCTCTTATTTTTAGCTCAGCTGCCTTTTTTTTTTTTCCTCTTGGCTCTTCACTGTGTCTCACCATGCCAAGCTTATTCCCAAGAAATCTGTCCTTGCCTGTGCCCGTGAACCTCAGACTGGGAGCCAACGCTGGGCTAAAGTCCTCACCTGAGCTTCACCTTTTCTAGGGCTCCAGAAGTCAGCAGCTGCCATGGAGGCCAAAGCCAACTCCGCCATGGGAACAATCCCAATGCCTCTCGCACCAACCCCTGGCAGATCTCCAGCTGGGGTGACACAGCAGAGGGTGGTGATGGGAAAGGCCAGGAAATACTGAACCAGCGATGTCAGCTGACCTGGGGCTTCCACAGTTATTCCTACATGAATGTAGTTATTACTACAGAAAGGGTGTTCAGCTAGAGTTCCACCTCCAAGATTGCCATGGGCCCCAGTCTCCTGTTCCAAGCTGAGAACCTTCTCCAAAGAAATCCAGAGCCTTGGGACCACCAGGAAGGTGTTAGAACCATCCAGAAGAAAACACTTCACTCAGTGAGGTCATATTTAGCTTCAAGGGGATGCTGCCACAGTCCCTGGATGGCTCCTGGTCCTCCACTTGCCCTCCCCCACACCCTCCTCCTGAGATATCCCAGAAGCCCCGCTTCATCCAGGGCCCTGTACACTTGGCTGTGATGGAGACGCTTTGCCCCCTGCTATTCAGCCCAGCACCGGGGCTGTGATGGGAGTCACAGGCTTATCCCACTGCCTGAATGTTCCAGGTCTATTGACTGTTCCAGGGATGGGCTGGCTCAGAGAGTTGCCACTGTCAACTCTTAAACCTGAGTATTCCTTACTCCTTGCCCTCAGAAAGCCCAGCATCTCTGACACCCTTCCCCTAACCGTGGAAGTAAGTTTGAAAATAAGCCCTTGGAGGACTGGTGACCATCCTAGCCAGCCCTCTGGGCTCAGGTCTCCTTGCCTGTAGTACCTGTGGGGAGGGAACAAAGACCCTCCTCCCTTCCCAGCAGCTGGCTGCCTCCCCACACCCAGGACAGGAGCTCCAGACCAAAGTGACAGATATCATGACTGGCCTGTGTCCTCTGAGGTTTACCAATGTTTGTCTGCCCTGTGCCCACTTGGGATGTCCCCACAATACCAAGTAGGCTTTCTGAGCCAGTAAACCCTACGTGGCTCTAGATTTTGCCTGGCTCTCAGGGCTGGTTCTGCTAGCCCAAGTACACTGTCCACAGAGCAGATGTAAGGGACATTATTGCAACTTGGTAGCAGGGGTGTGGTCCCTCTCCTCATGGCAGAGAAACACTCAGAACATCTGCGTGCTGAAATGGCCAAAATGGAGAATTAACAAAATCAGGAAACTAAACAAAACTAAAAGAAAAAAAAGCCATTCTGCTTGGAAATCTATAAATTTTCCCTCAACTCTCCACCAAAGGCCAGGTTGATAGCATAAATAAACCCAATAATGCTATTTGTAAAATCCAGATGATGAGCTCACTGCTGGTGGGGCTTGGAAGCAGGCAGCATGAAACAGCCGTGACCCAAATGGCATTCTATTAAAGGAGGAAGGAGAAGAAATGGACCTAGCACTCCTAGCACTGACCTGAAACGTTGGGAAACATTATTTAAATGCAACAAGAAGGAAAGAATCAATAAAGATAAAAAGCACAAGCAGAGGATGACAGAAAGGGGTAGGCTCACGTGCCGCTCGGAGAACGTCTGAATGAGCAAAGGGCAACGAAGCTTGAAAAGGGAGACATCCGTTCTGAAACAAGAAAGGGATATGGCCAAAGTGACCGTTACACTTTAAATTAGGATGAAATGGGATTCTCCAGGGGAAACCGAGCATTTGGAGCATCGTAGAAAAACGAAACGGCTCCTGTACAACAAACAAATTGGGAAAAGTTGCTAGCCAGCCCTTTCCCTTCAAATCCACCTCCCAGGCACAAAATACCACTTGACCGTGAAGCATCCCAAGGGAGTCTACCAGGCTCCAGCTCCCTGAGCCCAGGAAAAGAAGTAGAACAGACAGCTGCCTCTTATTGCAACACTGTAACATTGATGCCAAAACCCAATGAAGACAGCACACAAGAGGAGGCGTCCTCAAGGGTACAACTTCCCAGTATCAAATGAAACTTTTAACGGATACAGTTCATCACCGCTAAGCGAAGAGTGCTTTCGGGTCACAGGTCACAAAGTGACATGTGTTGCCAACACATCAGAGGCTGTTCCTGTCACTCTGCCTATCAACATATTTGAGAAGACAGCCCTCACGGTTGCCACTGAATTTGACTGTGTCACCAAAGTCCATGCATTGGAATTTAATACCTAATGCAGTGTCTGGGGGGGCCTGAGTGGCCACATTACATCCCAAGGGCTCTGCTTCCAGATGTGTTGATTTGGATTACAGAAGGCATGGGGCCTCCTGTCTGATCTTTCTTGTTCTCTCTCTGGTCCTCTCTTGCCCTCTCATCTTCCACATATTTTGGCATTAGAATTTCCAACTCCCTGAACCACAAGAAATAAACTTTGGCTATTTGTAAATTACCTGGTGGAACTCTGTCACACGGTGACTGTCTTTCTCCAGTGAAAGCATTTACACAAGTCCTGAACAGGGCGACATATGGCATCTCTGCATATGTAAATACCAGCCCCAAAGTCAGCTGGCTTGTTCAGGAGAAAACCTGGTTTAACCCGTGTGAACTTCGGGCTGGTTCAAGTTAACAAGAGTGGGGAAATGGAGCTCTAAAACCTATTAGCATTTTGCTGATTAGAGACCATTCACGTAGACATCAGTGGTTCTGTGTGAGTACCCCGTCGCCACGTTCAGTACCAACCTCATTTAATCCCAACAGCGCAAAAGCAGAACTTTGCTATGAACCTATCAAATCACTCAGTAACAACCTTGGGCTACTTTTGGGTCCCAGATATGCATAACTGAGTACTCACAGAGAGACAGCATGCCTGTCCCTTGCCACGCCCACCACTCCCACCCCCCATTCAGAGACCCTCCCCACAGTCAGACTGCACCCTGAGTCTTCAGACCAAGTGAGAACCATCACGGCAGCCAACCATCCTATTCCCAGTCCAACGGTAGCTCGTCAATTCCTAAACCAGTTCTGACCTGGCACATCACAGCAGACAGTGTTCCCTGTGCTTGGTGGTCCAGGAAACACCCCCATGACGCCCTTCCTAGGCTTCTATCATCCACGCTGGGAACACAAGTTCAGCGATGCTGCAGCCGAGGTTGCTGTTTGTACTGTACTGGCCCATGCCGAACCGGGGGGGTGGGGGCTGGGGGGGAAGCGACTCTTGGAGCTGGATGCTTGCTTTCATCAAGCTGCTGAGCCAAAGACCTGGAGCAGAAATGGGGCGGGGGGGGGGGGGGGGGGAAGGGGGGGGAGGGGAGGAGAGGGGAGGGGAGGGGAGGGGAGGCAACAAGAACTATCAGTCTTCACGTAGGTCACTGGTCACTGTGCCTCCTGTTACAGGCATCTGGGGAGAGCAGAAGCCCAGTGGAGGGAAAGATAGGAACCAGGGAATGTGGACCCAGCAGACGGATGAGGTAGAGAAGCAGAAGTCCGGGGATGGGTTGCTGCTGGGTGGTGTTGGTGAATGACACACTCCAAGTGTCACTCTCTGCACCTTGGGGGACAGGGCATAGTGTGAATGGTCAGCTGAACAAATTTCTGCAGAAGCAGGGTAGCCTAAGACTCTGGGACAATTGGGCAAGAAGTAGACCCAAAGAATCAGCGCCACATCGGAAATGTGCTTTGTTTGGGGTTTCCATTGAAATCCACTCCGGGGCCATCTGCTGGTGTCTGCAGCCTCTGGAGGAAGGAAGAGGAGTGAGTGAGGCAGCAGAGCATTCTGGGTGTGTCCTGTATTTGATGCCAGCCACCTGCTGCTAGCCACAAGACTGTCAGAGTAGCCAAAGGCTGTCCTTGATCGGAAAGGACATACGGAGATCCTGAGCCACATAGACAGGGGTGTCAGAGAGCTCACAGACAGGGCTGAAGTTCTCTCTGGCAGGTTTCAGGGATAAAGGAAAAGTAAGCAGGTTCAGGCCAGGCCTCACTCCCTGAGTTTTTGTTAGAGGCCATGGGATCGATCTTCCTCAAAGCCTAGGAGCTTGTAGGAGCTGCGCCATGCATTTTTAAATGTCCATTAGTTGAAGGCACTCCCTAAGTGGCCTGTGTGGGCCACAGAGGCTCCAGCAGGATGGCAGGGAGGCTCTGGGGTGGTCATAGGACACAGTTAGGTTTCAACCTCCCAGCAGGACTGTGGTGTGCTGCCAAGAAGAACCATCCTATTTACCCTGGCCCAGCACAGCATGTCCTTAGTTGGCATCTCAAGCCAGGCCAACAGAAGCACCATCGGAGACAAATGTGGGGAAGGGCCCAGGGCCTGGGATGGAGTTGGGAGCCTAAGGATTTTGTGTTAGTTTCTTTGTATTGCTACTAAAATTAGCTGGGGGAGGGGTATTTGGCTTATACTCCCACCATAGCCTGTCACTGAGGGAAGCTGGTAGCAACTCAAGTCAGAAACTGAAGCAGAGTCGATGGAGGAGTGCTGCTTACAGGATCGATCTTCATGGCTTTCTCAGTTTGCTTCAAACAATACAAAACAAAAGCAAACAAACAAAAACCCAAACCAAACCAAAAAAAAAAAAAAACAAAAAACAAAAGGACTCACAACCACCTGCCCAAGGCCAACTCTGTCCACACTGGGATGGGATGGGCCCTCCAACATCAATTATTAATCAATAAAATAGCCCACAGGCTTGTCCATAAGCCATCTGATGGAGACGTTTTCCCAAGCCAGGTTCCCTCTTCCTAGATGACCCTAGCTCCTGTCAAGGTGATAAAGCAGGAACCAGACCGGATCTCAGCCTTAAGTCCCGGCTGAAGAAGTTTCATGAGTGACTGCTGGTCACTCATGAGATCACATGGAGAGGCTGGGAAAGTAGCCCAGTGACAAAGTACTTACCATGAAGGCAGGAAGACCTGAGTGTGATCCTCAGAATCCTTGTCAAAGGTGGGGAATGGTGATACACTCCTGCAACCCCAGTGCTGGAGCAGGGCTGTGGACACAAGTGAAATAAAATAAAAAAAATAGACTAAAATAAAATAACAAGGTGGGTGCTGAGAATGACAACTGACGTTGTGTGGCAGGGTACTTGATCAGGCTGTGAACCCCAAGATTGTGACCTGGAAAAACCTGTTTCTCGTTGTGGTGTGGCTCAGCCCTAGAACCTTTAACCCAAGAGCTTTCTGTAAACAAGTGTTAAAGTCTCAACCACAGGTTGTAGGGGAGGATATTTGGAAAACTGCGCTCGGTCCGGCTTGTTCCCAGGCAGCCACCATGTTCCCACTGCTCCTCGGCTCTGACCAGGGCTACGGCTAGCTAGATGTGCAGGCCCTGGCACTCACGAGATGCCAGCGTGGGGGACAGCTCTGCCAGTCCCCCATGCTGCATCCACAAAGCTCTGCTGAACCTCAGATAATATCTGTCATCCTGGCAGTACCCGGCAGAAATGAGACTCTTAAAGCTTAATGATTATCTAAAGGATTTTTATATAATTAGAAATGCTCAGTCAACAAGATGCCCACACAATTAGAGTTGTTACCCAATATCTAACCTTTTGATAGAAGTTGCTACCCAGGACAGCCTTCAACCCATACGTGGTTCTTCATGGCTGATAGCCTTCTTCTTCTTCTCCTCCCTTTCCTCTATTTCTCCCCTCCCCTTCCTCCTTTTCCCCTCTCCTTCCTCTCTTTCTCTCCCAGTTCCACCTCCTCTTCTACTGCCTAATGACGGAGCTCCACTACGAATACAATGTAGTAGAGTAAGTATCCTGCTACAACAGGTCAAGAGGCGGGGCAAGCAACCAGCTGACAGAGAGTGAACACAAAAAAACCCAGGAAAGAGAAAGGAGGGACTTTGAGGTGAAGGGAATTTAAGGCCCTGTGGAGAAGAAAAAGGAACTTTTTCCTTCTGGGACCTTTGATGGAGTTGTAAGGTTAGCTGGGTGCTTTCTCTCCCTCTCTGAGCTAGCAGGCTTTCACCCCAGCATCTGGCTCCTGAGTCTTCATTTGGTAACATTGAACGTTTGCTATTTTGTTTTAAAAACAACAATGTTGACTTCTGCTCTCTCCCTAAGAGGGACTTCTTGTGGCTGACTCTCTGGGTCTTTAGGTTCTCTGAAGCTGAACTTGGTTTGGATAACAAACTCTTGCTTGTTTTTGTGACAATGGTCCTAAGCAGTCATGATCCAGGTGAGCATTGGGGGAGGGTCTCTAGAGCCTCCATCAGAGCCATCTGGGTGGAGCAGGTGCATGAGGATTCAAAAAAACCAGGAAGACCCAGGAGCCTGACCCCATGCCTAAACCACAGCCATCACAGCAAGTGTTTGGCTCCGATGGTCCCTCTGGAAACACTTACCACTCCATATTCCAGTTCAGGGGTGACCCTGGGGCGGGGAACGTCAGTATCACTGGAAATCCTCTCTGGAAGGAGCACTGTGACATTCACATTGGGAATGATTTGGGCAGTGTGATCCTTGCTCAGGTTGCTGGTCTGGGGCTAGGAAGCAGAGAGATAGGAAGACAGATGAGAAAGGAGAGGTCTGTGGGCAGCAGAGCTGTCTGAGAAAGGCTCAGTGTCCTCTTGGGTCTGCTGGGAACATGAACTACTGCAGGGGACCACCAGCGCACAGGGGATTCCCCTGGCATGGCGGTTGGGAGGAAATGAGCAGGGACCCAACAGTGTATGGCCTTGTCTCAGAGCTGCCATGGAGCGAGCGTCCTGCTTGCTGTTTTACCCGCAGCAGATGAGCACTGTAGTTTCCTCTTCTGCTTTGGCTAGATGCAGGAGGAAGGGATCTACTTGGCTTACACTTCCAGGTCAGTCCATCACTGAAGGAATTCAGGGCAGGGATCGAAGCAGAAACCAAGGAGGAACTTATCAGATCCCTAACTGTCACTGCTCAACTACCTTTCTTATAAAGGCCAGGCCTAGCTGCCTAGGGTTGGTGCCGCTCAATCATCAGTCTGGACAGTCTCTCACAGACATGGCCATAGGCTGTCTTAGTTAGGGTTTTACCACTGTGAATAGACATCATGACCAATGCAACTCTTATAAGGACAAGAGGGCTGGCTTACAGGTTCAGAGGTTCAGTCCATTATCATCAAAGCAGGAACATGGCAGGGTCCAGGCAGGCATGGTGCAGGAGGAGCTGAGAGTTCTACACCTTCATCTGAAGGCCGCTAAGACTGGCTCCCATTTGGTTAGGAGGAGGGTCTTGTTGTCCCCACAGTGACACACTTCCTCCAACAAGGCCACACCTTCTAATCGTGCCACTCCCTGGGCACATGCAAACCATGACATAGGCCATCCTGATCAAAGCAGTTCTTCAGCTGAGGTTACCTCTTCCCAGGTGAACCTACGTTATGCTAAGCTCCCTCCAAAAAAACTAACTAGGAAATGGACAACAAACGCTGAGTCCCAGTTGGCAGGGGCTTCTCCCCAGGGGTCTCAGTCCTCCATAGTAGGCACACTGGTCCCATGAGACCCCACGAACACCAGCACAGCAGTTTCTCCTAATACCAGAGTGGACATAGACTCCAGCCGCAAGCCTGACTTATTCACATAGCCTCTGGCAGAGTCAACATTAAAAGATGTTTTTGTTACATTTATAATATAACATTACTTATATCTTTATATAACACATAAACATTGTTAATATTTTTGTTACATTTAAAATATATTTAGTTGAAGTCCAAACACAGTGTGTGTGTGTGTGTGTTTGTGTGTGTGTGTGTGTGTTTCGTCAGAGATTATTGGTTGTTTCCTTCCACCATGTGGGTCCCAGGGATCAAACTCAAGTCACTAGTTTTGGTTGCAAGCACCTTTACCCACTGAGCCATCCTGCAGGCCCTAGAGCTACACTTTAAGGGCCTCTTGAGGCTTCCCAAGACAGGATCTCTAGTTTACATTAGGCAAAGGAGTCATGATCACAGAAACCACGGGCTTGTCACTGACTTCCGCATCAGATGTAGATGGCCTGCCAAAGCCCCAAGCCCACACCCCAGGGTACAGCCAACAGATGTGCTCAGCCACCAGCTGGGTGTCCTGTCTCAGTCACCAGAACAGTATGGCCTTTCCTGTTAGCCCCAGAAACCCACTTGCAGAATCTGTTTCATCCCTAGGAGAAAAATCAGACAGCAATTGAGGACAGATCACCAACTGAGAAATGAAATACTTTCTTTGGATTTCTTAGTCAGAAGAAGAGAAGGCAGAGAATGTCTTAAAGATCAAGAGAGAGAGTGCAGAGATGGCTCAGCAATTCAGAGCCCTGGCTGCTTTTGCAGAAGGCTTGGGTATGATCAGTAGCGGTGGGGCAGCTAACACTGTTTGGAACTCCAACTTCAGGGTTTCTCATGCCCTTCTCTAGCCTCCGTGGGCACTGAACACACACACAGTGCACATTCATGTATGTAGACAAAGCACTCATAAATGTACAATAATTCTTTAAAAATCAAAAGAAAGTAATAACAGGCTATGGTTATTTCACATGGCTAAAACCAGAGAAAAATAGAGCCATTCTCAGAAAATAAGGAAAAGTGAGTTTTCACCGTAGGACCTTTAGAACTGGTTTGTTCACACTGAAGGAACCTTGGCTGGAAGCATTACGATCAAACCCAAAACCAAGGATGGGGTACTCTGGGGATATGGCTCAACTTATAAAGTGCCTACTTTACAAGCGCAAGGACCAGAGTGAGATCCTTAAAACTTACATTTTAGGGGCTGGTGAGATGGCTCAGTGGTTAAGAGCACTGACTGCTCTTTCAGAGGTCCTGAGTTCAAATCCCAGCAACCTCATGGTGGCTCACAACCATCCATAATGAGACAGAGAGGGTCCCTGTCTCAAAAAAGTAAGGTGGAAGGTGAGGCTTTACAGGTTGGAGGCTCAAGGAGGGGGGGACACTGAGGCAGACTGACATTTGGGGCATGAGATTTACTAGAAGAGTCATTAGCATCACAGACAAACAGCAGCATGATAGGGGCTCTGAGGAGAGGTCAGGATCGCATTGCAGGGTGGGACCCCTTCTTACCAGTTTCAGAAGAAAGAGAGTTTCTATATAGCATGGTTGATGAGCAGCCCAGAGTACGCCCTGTGGTCGGGCTGTCTCTGAGTCAGCTGTAAGCCCAGGGTGGGGCAAAGATTATGGAAGTTCTAGAAGTTTGAGGAATTGCCACTGTCCAACTGAAATGGAAGAGCTTTACAAAATGAGACCGTCCTGGCTAACGGACAGCTGATGTCGACCTCTGGCATTGGCACACATCTGTACACGCACATCTGTGCACACATGTCTGCCCATAGAGGACAAAAGAAAATGAAACAGAACAATTTGGCAATTTTAGCAAGATCGGATTAATCCTAGAACAATACAAAACCATAATGGAAGAGGGCTGGAAGTGTGGCCCAGTGGTAGAAAACAGGCCCGAGTTCATCAGTGGGGCTGTGGGGGGCGGTGGCTTACTGGTGAAGCGCCATCTTAGCATACACAGGCCTTGGGTTCCATTCTAAGCAGTTCCGTGTGTGTGTGTGTGTGTGTGTGTGTGTGTGTGTGGTGGGTGTCTATTGAGGAAGCCTAACTTCTGAGTCAACAAGCCAGATGCATTAGCCCACGCCTGTCGTCCCGCCACTCCGGATGCTCACAGTTAGTCTGAGGTAGGCAGAGCAATAGGAGAAGCCCAGAATCATCGACGTGGAAGAAGGGACTGATTCCTCAAAGTTGTTCTCTGACCTCCATGGCACACGCGTGACACACACTCACGCACACCACGCACACCTAACAATGGGAAATAAAACCAAGTCCTTTTTGAAAACCGAAGGAAAAGGAAGACTCGGTTAATAAAATCAGCTTCGTTAACACGAAACACACGTACGTCTCCGAGACAATGTTGGGAGGGAAACCCAGCTCGGCGTGTGGCTTCCACATGCAAATCTGTTGGACCAAAATCAGTGTGCCCGAGTTAGAGTGTGCATTAGTCATCAGAATGAGCAAGCAGCATGGAGAGAAGGAACATTCTGGATCTTTCAGAAAAGGGGTTCAGGGTGAACCCACCACTTGGCCTAGATGGTGACCAGGGAAAGGCAAGCTAAAGCCACTAATGGCCCCTTGGCCCCATCACGGTGCCCGTGAGCCGTGGCTATTTTGCCATCAATCTGTGTGCCAATTATGGTAACTGCTGAATCTTTAAAAAGATAATGTTTATCTTTGTCACAAGCCAAAGTGGGGGATGGAGGCACTCTGACAATGTTGGTCCGCTTTCTGTCATCTGTTGGGTCCAAGTGAAGAATCAGTAGCTTCAAACAATCACAGAAAAGTAACCCACGCCATGGTACGGGGAGGTGTCACCCACAGCAGGGCTAGAAATAACAACCTATGGCTCAGCTGTGTAACTGCAAAATTTGATTTTTCTTTTCACATCGATTGATGAATGTGTGTCTATGTGGAGTTCAAAAGACAACTTGTGGGACTCAATACCCTCCTCTAATCATGGGTGTCCTGGGGATTGAACTCAGGTCGTCTTTATTGAGCCATCTCGTTGGCCCCAAAGCTGGTGATTTCAAACTCCACTGAAAAGCAAGTGATTGAAAACCAGTGGGTTTAGTCATATGTCTCAGTTTCAAGGTGGGCAATGATGTCATTCTGGTGTGAGTGAAAATTCGGAAATGCAGGACTCCCAGAGGCTCCTCCTGCTATCTCAGAGCAGGTGCCTTCCACGAGTGCTCCATCCCTTGCTCCTCGCCCCTCACCCCTGCTGCACTGGCTGTGTGTTCTGGGCCATATGTGAAGCACTTGGCCCTGTCTTCCTGATGGGCTCTAGCACTGGGAGCCCAACAGGACATAATCCCTTTTGTATATGGCAGAAGATACCCATTGGCCCAAGCTATCCAAGTGGGCTCCTGGACAGGTGGATTTAACTGTCATTAAAGTATAGCCATGAGGCCTGATTTTGCCAGGAGGAAGTGACCTGTTTTTAAAAATAGTCTCTGTGGGAATCACATTCGAAACCTAATACTAAGAGTGACCCAGGAAAGGTTGAGAAGCAGCCTTGGGCACAAGTTGTGAATGGTGTGTGTGAGAGAGAGAGAGAGAGAGAGAGAGAGAGAGAGAGAGAGAGAGGCAGGTAGACAGAGACAAAGAGAGATACAGGTAGACCGACCCAGACATATAGAGACACACACAGTTAGAGAAAGAGATAGGGATATATATATATATATATATATATATATATATAGAGAGAGAGAGAGAGAGAGAGAGAGAGAGAGAAAGCATGGCTCAGAGGACCCTTTGCCTTTGGTTTCTGAGATGGGCCTCACATAGCTTACGCTGACAGGCATTGCATGCTTTTCCCTAGTATCTTAGCATCCTGAGTGCTATGAGGGTCATGGACTCCACTAAGGTCTATGTGGTGCTGGGGGTGGAAGCCAGGGCTTTGTGAATGCTAAGTAAGACTCCACCAGCTGAGCTACAGCCCCAGCAACTTCCTTGTTAGTGGAGAAAGGGACCCACATTGTCTCCCCAGAGCCAAGGTAGCTTTGCCAAAGAAGTTCAGGACATAGGCACACTGATTTTGAAAACCATCCACCCTCCAGCAGCTTTTAATTTTTTAAAAGGATATATCTTTATGTGTATGAATTGGTTTGTCTGTCTGTCTGTCTCTGCACATGCCTGGTCCCCAAGGAAGCCAGAACTGGTCATTGGATTCCCCATGAGTTACAGATGG